AATTTGCAAAAATCATTCAAACCAACAAATAAATTGAATCATGAACGTTCAACAAAATACATAGATCAACCATTTCTGAACCTGTTTAATTAAAATCAGCAACTATTGTAAGTTTTCATCCACAAATAATTCCAAACTACATATTTCATCTAGCATAAAAATTTAAGACATAACAAATACTTGTTATTATGTTTAAAATTTTTATCCATGTACATCAACCGAAAAATATAACTAGTAGTCTACCAAATATTTTCTATACACACCCATCCAAAAATATAACTACTAGTGTATCCAAAAATATAACTACTAGTCTACCATTTTTCTACCCATATCGAATCTCTAATCTCCTGGACTGATAGTCAGTGCAATTTGAACAGGAAACAAGTTCTCTGTAAGTGCTGGATGCAGGAAACCATCCTTCCAAATCATACTTCTTTGCAGCTGCATCATTCAAAGCACCGGAAACAATAGCCACAATTTGATAGGGTAGTTTTAGCTGCAATAGAGAGAATTATGTCATACTTGTAGGAAAGAAAAATGCATAATTAAATAGTGAAAAATCAATTCGTCATCAGCAGGAGCCCATATATAGGACCCTCAAATTTCTTTGGCGTCAAGTGGCAGACTTTTTAGCATTAACCAAACAAAACAACCAATTCTAAAATCACTCATCTTACATGACATTACAAAACCTGGCAAGATAATCTATATGAGTACTATAAGAAACATTATCAAGCATCTCCAGATTAAAAAAAAAAAATGAATATAACGAAGAAATAACCAAAAATTATACACATCATTCCCCTACAATTCTGAGGGCAGGAAAGCTCTATACCATCTTGTAAAACTCTTCTGAGTTCGTTATCATTTCGTCGTGTATGTCCCAAGAGTCATATATGTTAAACCTACTATATGTGATTTAAAACAGTTACGCATATATAAGGTAAAAAAGAAGCATAAAAAAATTAATTTTGTGAACCAAGTGGATCTAATTGGGCTGATCAAAATTTTGTGCCTTGTTAATTGCCTTGTTAAGAGTCAAGGAAGATTTCTCCTTCCTGGACTATGACCTCCAACTCACAAAATATATATATAGAATTGTTTGATCTAAATTCAAGGCATTGTGTTTGGTTTGACTGTTGGGCTGTTGTAATTCAGGGCAATGTAGCTCACTGACAGCATCAATTAATTACCCATGTACATCTGAATTAATTACCCGCCTCACAATGATGTTGGAAAAAAAGAATCAATTCAATTGACAGCAATGTACAAGAAATGTTTCCCTCACCTGTTATGCAAGCAGAAATCTAGTACTCTCTTGTACTTGTATCTATGTTTGAGGGTAGGAGGTGAGATGATCCAAATGCAATGCTGTCAGACAACTAATCTAAAAGCTTAAGCAGATGGAGAGGGTTTGGTTAAGCATTTCAATCATCAACATTGGACTAAACATAATGAGAAATTATTTCCTGTAAACCGTAACGCCCTTCAAACTTGACAAAGGCTCTAGAAACTTGCTTGATAATTCATATGCATTATCCAAATGTAGAATAATTAAGGAAATAAAAAGTGAGTCTCAAAGCATATCAGCTACCAAGGCTTACTGTTCAATGAAGTTAGTGATGTGTACAGACAGATAATAAAAATAAAAATAAAAATAGAAAGGCCCTAGATAATTTTACTGAAGCACTTGCACAAAAGAAATCTTTACCATTTTCTGGTGCTGATTTAAAGCTTGAAGTTTATGTTGCTCATATTGATTTCTTCTGCCTTCCTTCCTTAGCTGCTTGAGAAAAAACGTCATCAACAATACATTCAATGATATACGTGCATACCATGAATAACATGTTCAACTTGTTTGCCTCTTTCTTTTTCTTTTTTTTTTTCCTTTTTGATTAATTAAATCCGAAGCATACATAAGTTAAAACTTTTATAAGTGAAACATGTTTCCCAGGTTACATGGATAACTGGGAAACATCAAGTACCTGAGGCAATTCCTTCTCATGAGAGGCCTTCCATTGTCGAAATTGCTCTGCCTCGTGTTTTATCTTATGCTGCAATTGAACCTACAAATGAAAGGGAAAATTAGTATGACGGATCCTAAAGTCATATAATAAATAACAGCTTCATGGTTATGTCCTGTCTGCTTGATACAACCATTGGAATGAGAACAAATCTTCTGGACCTTGATGGTCTTTATCTCATCTTGAAGCCGCTTTGCTGCTTCATCACTTCTTTGTTTTTGCTTTAAAAGCTGAAGCTGACAATCTTGTTTCTTCTTAAGATCTAAAATCTGAAGTTGGGTTGGGGGTCGGAATTTTTAGCATTTAAATAATGACAAAGGTTTGAGACAACATAATGACATTGGAGAGAGCAAAAAATACCTGTGTCTCAAGTGATTTTAATTTATGTGCATAAGCTTTGTGCATTTTCTGCTTTTGTCCATCAGAAGCAGCAGCAAGGTTTTCAATTTTAGCTAGCAAACGGTCCCTCTCTTGCTGTAGTTATCACAGACCATCACCACCCTCTGTAGTGATGAAATAGACAACTAACAATGGAAAATTTTAAAATTTTTCCATATAACCTGGACTGTTTTCTTCTCTTCCTCGAGTTTCAAGATTCTCTTCTCAAAGTGCTGACTAAGTGCTTCAGTGTCAGACCCTCCAAAATGTTTCATTTCTGACTGCACATAAGTCACAGAAACAATTTTAAGAAAAACAGTGTAAATTGCAAGAATGGAATACAAAATAAAATCTATTTCCAAACATTCACCAATTGCCAAATATAAAAAATTTCCAAGGAATCAAATAAATTTCACAAAAATTGTTCAGTAAAAATTACAGTGGCAGATCAAAGTAGCAGGCAAAAAAATACTTTAGATTCCAGTGGTACTAATTCTAGTAATTATGTTGCTACATTTAAGTTGGCGTTGTGGAGTTTCTCTTTTTTGTTGGTCGTTAGATTTTCATTGTTGAAGATCATTGATTAGTGTTCCTTGGATTCATGTAACCCACAAAACATGTCTCCCTACATTATTTTAATAAAATGACACATTAAAAGGATAAAATAAAAAAATATATAGACACATATATATATAAAGAAGTGGAGGAGCTCTATCCCAAGAGAGAAATAAAAATATCGCTAAAGATATAAACATTGAATCTTGAATGCATAAACAGGCAATGGCAGTGATGAAGATATCATGTAGCCTCTAACATCAATCTCTTTAATATTGAATCCCATGTGAAACGCGTGTTAGAAAGATGATCCTGAATTTACAAAAACATTTTTCATGTTCGCAGACGTTAATTATGTATAATAATCATAATCAGTTCTGTCTTTCAACAAACCATTAGAAGCACTCTTTCATATTTTCTCCCTGACACAGTGCTGAGATCCTAATGGATATGAATGTGAGTGGACAGCCCCATGCATGTATCGTGTGAAACAAACCACTAGAAGCACTCTTCATACTTTCCCCCTGACAAGTGCTGAGCTCCTAATGGATATCAATGTGTGTGGACAGCCCTATACAAGCGTCATGTGAACATGTATCAATGTGTGTAGACATAAGAATGACACTAAATGGCCACTATTATCAATATATTCTTTGAAAATAAGGCAACAGCAGCTTTTAAAAAAGTAAGAACATATTTTTAAGGATGCAAAGCAAGACACTTTGTAGAAATCAGAATCCCAAGCCTGTAGTTTCATCTCGGCTGTATCTCTTGGAAGGAATAGTGACAAAAATGGGGAATAGGCTTCCTAAGCCAAAAAAAAAAAAAAATCTAGCAGAATTATTTACATTACAAATTAGAACATTAGCTCTGGGCATATCCACCCTTGTAGTTTGGGTAAAATTGTAAGGGTCGAAAACATCAGTTTTGCTCAAAAAAGAGGTACATTAGTTGTATTCTCCTTTAAGCCTATGTCATAAATAACAGACTAAAACACTAGCTTTGGGTGTATCAACTTTCATAGAGAAAAAATTGAATATTCAAGATGTGTGACCCAACAACCAGTTTTTATGCGGGAGATTAGAAAAAAAAGGCATATTAGATGTTTAACACATGTTCTCCGTTAAGGGTTGAGCCTATATCATAACAAATGTATGGCAGAAAACTGCATAAAACAAAGCCCATCAGTGAAACCTCTTTCTGCTCCAAACGCTTGTTTAGCTCATTCAACTCTTTGCCCATCGTTGTTCGCAGGAGTGCATGCTCCCACTCTTTTGCTACAGCTTCATCAATTTCCATGTAATTTTCACCTGCAATTTTTGGCAAATTCATTTGAAACATAAAGAACTGAACTAGAAAAGTGCCATATGAGTCACATGTTTTAGAGACTCAACACACCTCTCTTACGCATACTATGTAATATAAAAACTGATAACATGCCAACTAAATGACAGAAAAATCAAAGTCTGTCATGCATTAACTAAGGGTATGGCATCTTGAAGCTTATTCCCCTCTGCTCTCAGCCTCATTCATCTGAAATAATCTCACAACTAAGTAGCTTACCTGTCATGGCTTCACCCATGGGATAACCAGATGCATCCATGCTCTGTAAGCCCTTCTTTAGCCCATCCCTTTTAACAAAACAGGAGCCATCCTGAGATAGAAAATGTCACATAACTATCAATCAAGCGCCAACCAAAAAAATAACTATCAATCAAACTATTGTAATGACCAAAACCTCAATAAATATGGTCTATTGACCACAATTTAGTGGCAATAAAGAGGAAAGTTAAAATTGCAATATATATATAATTCTTTTATTTTTCTTCTTCGAAGATAAAGAAGGAATTATATTAGCGTACTTCAGCATCTGTTTCTCTCGGCTCTACAACAGCACGTCTGCTGTGGTATTCATGTAGTTCTCGAGAAAGCTCCTTATTAAGTTCAGCCTGCAAGTACTCTAGCTGCTGCCGCATATTTTGCATCTCATTCGACATCAAATCTCTGTTACCCTGTACAACAAGATAATGTACTCCCTCAGAAATCAAAAGATACAGAACTTGATGCCAATAGAATCTATCCATCTCCAAATAGTGAAGTGGAAATATTTAACAAAAAGAAAATAATAATAACATATAATCATCAAGGTTACTTACAACAGGATTATTCTGAATGTTTCGAGCACGATTAGCATATTTGAGAGTGTTCAGAGTTTCCTCAACATTGATGTCAGCAGGGCTGATGCAGGCTGGAAGAAGGATGATGGCAGAATCAACCAACCAGGCAGGAAGAAGGATGCTCCCTCAGAAATCAATAGATTCTATTATTCATTTACACCTTTTAAGAGATTGACTTATTTGACAATAATTAACAAATTATGTTCATAGAAACATTAATATTTTTGTTGTTCTTCACTTGTTCTTTTGTGTTAATGAGTTTGATGCCCGTGTCGGACAAAAAGCTTATATTTCAGTAGTTTGACTAACCACACAAACCATGTTAAAACTATATCGACTTATAAACCCATGAATCATGAAGAACATCTGAAAATGTCCTAACTGCAATCATATGCACACAGAGATGGTTTTCTTGAGTACCTTTGCAACAGGTCACAATGGCAACACCCATGATCAGAGATATATATATTTAAGATTTAAAAAACTAAACCATCATCAACAATTGGATCTAAGAAATAGGGTTACTATAGAGGGCACCTAAGGTTTAATGGCTCTGGGAACTGTATGATTTAAGAAACTAATACACAGTCACACTCAAATCCCAATAGCTTGAAGTTGGTTTTGGATACAAATGATTTTTGATTTTAAAAGGTAATAAATAAATAACCACCAACCACTGCATAGATGTGCCCTGAAATCCTTCCCACTTCAATTTAAACTCTATATATGGATAATACTCTGTCCCAGCAATTCTACACACATTGCGGACTAACTAAATAAATCCATTTCAATTAGTATATTGTCATATGTCACACCACACCAGTATGCATGACAATTCTCTTGCAAAGTGCTTAAACATCACCTCATTTTTTTTTAATTAAAGAAAATTTAATTAAAAAAAAATGAGGTGATCTTGAATATGTGCTTATGATCAGATGCAGAATGAAGGGAATTCTTACAAAGATGTAATTTTCTCTTTTGTTGTAAAATTGGGAGAAGAATTATATACTATTTGTGAACAAAATTCAAGACTCTTTGTCATATAAATGAGCTGTGATTTGTCCTTTTCGTGCCTTCACAGAGAAAAAAACTAACAGCAATAACAATAACAGGATGGAAAAACATTGATTCGGGCAGTAGTTCATTTAGCCAAGATGCAGCCCTCAAAACTAGAAATGCATAGATAACAACTGTATGACCTTCAGAGATTGGCCTTAAACTGATGTGGATATGGCTTCTCATTTTATAGAAATAAAAAATACAACGCATGACATGTAGGCCAAAAAAACAAAAGAAAACAAAGCAGGAAGAATTTGACAGCAAAAACAAGAAAATTTCCAAACACAAAACATGCATTATAAGTACCTCTGCATTCACAGCTACCAGTGTAGGCAGTAACTCTACAGCAGCATCTCGCACACCCTGCAAAGTATTAGCAATTTGACTAATTGTTGAGCTAAAATAGTGTGCACCAGAGAAGGCGTAGAAAGAAGAAAAGAACCGATAATTTATTTATCACCTTGACTGCAGGTGCTCCCCCCCATTGAACTCCTGAATCCAATAAATAGTTCATGGCTGCTGTTCTAATCAAATTTGCTAACCAAAAAAAGGTAAGAATGCTGAGTTAGAAGGGGAATACTGAGCTGGAAGGCCCATATATTTAGGAAGGTCACAGTAACAAAGCCTGTCTCTGGTTTTCTGTAGGGCAGAACTCTGTAGAAGTAAACATCAAACAACAGAGAGGTTGCAAATGTGAATTCTTTGTGTAATAGTTCATTTCAAAAACAAACAAACAAAAAAAATCAAAGATCAACTCCTCAAAATCACCAATCCTTCTCTTGACAACCGGCAGTGCTTCCTTTATAATTTTAAAACAGAGCTGGAGGCAAATTGTAAACTAAAAGGTAAAAAGGGATGAAAATATTAAATTTAAGAACTCTAATAGAAACTCAGTATTGAGGCAAGTAGCCTGACAGTTGATATCTTCCATCCAGTATACACCTATATACAACAATGGTAAGACAACTGGATAATTGTGCCATTACACTAAAGTGAAGCAAAAAATTTACGTACTTATCCAACATTCTCTCAACGATTGCCTCCAACTGAGGGTCCATTTTGTTTTCATCATTTGACTCTGCCACCTTTGACTTGAGACTGGCATATTCATCAATTGCTTTAGCTAAGTGAAGGTAGAACATGGCCAGCAATAATTAGGAAGGCTACATTGA